AATGACATTAAATGATTTTAGCATATGGCTGCAATATAACAAAGAGTGAAAAATTTAAGGGGGTCTGAATACTTTTCGTACCCACTGTATATTTGAGTACTCATCCCCTTCATTCCTTTGAGGCTGAAAATGTAGTTCATATAACCTACAGTATATGTGATTTTGAGAGTATTTTCTGTCAACATAGGAATTAATTTTAGTTCATTATCAAATTGTGTGAAAGGTTGAAAAGCGTCATCTGCTTTAGTCTGTCTAGAACCAGCTGGAGTACAGACTCAGGTGACAGCAGTCTGCCCGTCTATTTTTAGAGCACTTTGAATAATTGTCATGGAGGAAAAAGATGCAAAAATATGGTTAAATGAAATGCAGAACATGTGCATACAAGCTCTACAGCATAGGGCCATAGCTTCAGTGCGGTGTGCATTTGTTCATAGTGACATGAGAACACCATGCAAATATACAGTAGCATGATATGCCTGGAAGTATAATCAGAAAAGACCAGTAAGGAAAATGTGCTGTAATACTGTTTTGACATGTTCCTTAATGAGCAGTTTTCACGATGAGTCCAGTGGGGTGCGGCATGTGAGGAGGATGTTTCATCCTGGCCGTGGACTAGGGGGTCCGCGAGCACGTAGGTCGAACATGCACTTCACCAGCAGTACCACTGGGGGGCTCTCCACCAGTCAGAGCTCCTCACAGAGCTCAAACTACAGCAGAGAGGCCATGGACCCCATAGCAGGTCAGACCCACAACACGCACATGCTGACATGTAGAACAAAAGATGCGGAGCCCAATGTGTTCTTCTCACACATACAGCCAGCGTAGCATAGACAGTACACATGCCTGGTCCACATGTCGGTGTTCAAAACCTTTGCTGTGGTCACTTCTTTTTTTCACCCTGTGACAAATTTTAATCCAGTTTAGCGCTTGGTACTTGTCAGATCCTGCTGAGCCATAATGAGGATCCCTACTCAGTCTGTCTCACTAACAGGGCAGCAGCCTTCTCTATAATGACCCCACTGTACCTGCTTGGTTGCTGATCAAAACTGGTGGAGGCTTAGCCTAAAACTCAAACTGCTTACGGTCTTACTGTACTGTACGTGTGTGTGTCTTTGAGTTGCAGAGCACATGCTGGGCAGCAGTGCTACTATACTAGAGTTTTACTTCTGTGACAGCATAGCTTAGAAATGCTAGTTTTTAGGGATGAACATTCTGTCAAAGATGTTAAAGATGTTTTCATGAATGGATGCTGTCTGGTAATATGGTCAAGACTCTTTATATTAACCATTGTTAATAGTTGGAGTGGAGGCAGTGCAGGATACTAAGAGTTAGTCTTGGGAAAACTGAAGTAAAGGGGTAGAAGTACAGTATATTGAAAACGCTGAGAATCCAAAGTATGCCACAGCTATTCTAAAAGTACTAGGTGTCTACTCAGGCATGTTGCTACTTGTACTGTCATCTAATTGTTGCTTTTGACATTTAATTGTTAACTATCTGTGTGCACTGCATTAAGCACTTTGAATGCGTTTGGGTATGAAAATGTGCTATATAAAGTTGCCTTGCCTAGTTGAACAAAGCTCCTTGCTTCTTGTGATAATTATCATTTCTAACATTAAGCCCTTGTCCTCATCATCATGTTCCTCCAGAGCTTCTGTCGCAGTTGTCAGGGGTGCGGCGTTCGGCGGGTGGCCAGCTCAGTTCAGGCCCCTCGGCCTCACAGCTTCAACAGCTACAGATGCAACTCCAGTTAGAGCGTCAGCAGGCCCAGGCAGCGCGTCAGCAGCTGGAGACAGCTCGAAATGCCACTCGGGGCGGTGGCCGAGCCAATGCAATCCTCAACACCAATTCAGCCGCCACAAACCCCACCCCCAGCGCCAACCACAATACTAACCCCAGCCCTAACCCAGGTCCACCCGAGTCCAACACACAGCATACTGCACATAGCTCCCAGTTTCTACTCAGCAGGTAGGGCTTTTGCTCTTAATCCCCAAACTCCCTCTCCACTCAAGTGTTTTGCTTTTTGCTTCATCTCTTCTCTTGGGTGTTTGACCTTCACCTTAAAGGTTAAGGTCTGCTTTTGTTGTTTTCACCTATGGTCTCTGGACATTGTCCATAGTTTCTCTTTCACACCTGTATCGGACATTTGTTTGTAGCTAAATTCAGAGTTGCAGTGCATGTCTGAAGAGGCATTGCTAGTGTCAAACTTGACACATGTGACTCTGCACAGTCAAACAGCCAAGAGAAAAAAACAAGTAGAACACTTTTTTTGAGCAGAGGGGGACTTTGATGAAAAGTCTGCAGACAATTTTTTTTTGTCACCTGATTATTTATGCAGATGATCAGCTGTTACACTGTCCTCACCCCTTTGTCTCATTATCCATTCCACTGTTCGTTCTCTCTCATGCAGGCTGAGCGAACCGCGGCTGTCTGAGGCAGAGAGGCAGGCGTGCGAGGCCCAGTGGGCCGACAGGAGCCTATTTGTGACGGAGCTGCTGCTGTCTACACTGCTGCCTGACGAGGCTGCCTTGGCCTCTTCCTCCGAGGATGAGGACGACTGTCACAGCTCATTGCGGAATTTTGCCGACTTCAAGGCCATGGGCTGTGTTGAGGTCATGACCTTGGACGTGGCTCTGGAGAACCTCAACCTCAAGGAGACGACCCCGACTACCAAGACGACGAAAACGACAACTAAACCTGCGCCAACGAAGAAAGAGCCTCCTGCGCCGCCCCTTTGATGACATGGCCTCTTCCTCCCCCCCCCCCCAGCCACCATTGTTACTGGCTGACTGCTGAGTCAGTCCAAGTGCCAATGGATGACAAAAAAAAAAAGACTGCAGTTATTTTTGGCCTTTTTTTTTTTTTCTCAGTGATTGTCATTTCAGCTCTGTCGCTCCCTACTCGACCCCATGTTTATTACTTTGTGTACATTGAATAAAAGTAGTGAGACGAGAGAATGTGAAAGCAAGCAAGCGTGATGGGTGCGTGAGAGAAAGAAAACTATATAAATATATAATAGAAAAATCTATATTAAAATTGATAATCAATTCCTCATAACCCGTGTTTCCTCTAGCAGATGAGCAAAGCGTAGTTAGCTGTTTAAGAGACAAACACGCCACCCATTCATCCAGGGAGGAGGCAGACACAAACCTCTCCGGCAAAAACGCTGCTGTGTATTTATATTAATTAAAGAAGTGCTTGGATGGTTTACTACAACATAAGCATGAGCTTAAATCACCATGTGCCCATTTTTAACTGCACAGTCACTAGACGGGGAAGTCGCTCTTTTGTTCAGACACCTGAGTATAACTGTAAATGAATGGTGCTGAGTGCCACGCCACTGGCATTTCTGCAACATACACGCAAAGACTGACGGTTGTCGCTCTGTTTCATTTATGTCCAGTCTCCAGCCCCCCCTCTCCCTTTTGTGACATCACCTGTTGTGGGTCACATGACCTTGCTTTATATCAACTATGGGCACTTTAGTTTGGTATTGCATATCCAGTGTCCATTTGTGTACACTACAGATGCTCTACATAAAGGCGATACACGACTTGGAGGCAAACTCTTGTGACCATTTTCAGGCCTTTTCTAACGTGGAAGATAGACAACCCTGGTCTTCATATGGTTGCCCCCCCCCACCCCCCTTGCTGTCTTGCTTTTATTGAAAACCAGATACTTCTTTATTAAGCTTCCCTGATCTGAAATGAATCTTCTCTCCATTGCTCATGAATGCAAAGATTACTCATGTGACTTGAAGGACAGAATCCTGTATTGCTCTTTCCATTAATTTCTTTCAGTCAAAAAGATCTTTTTATGCCTCCACTGCTACCTGAAGAAATGCAGTGTATGTTTTTGGCTCAGCGAATAAGCCAAATCACAGGGTAAACCTTTCAGTTTGGAGGACAATAAAAATGTTTTGGATGGAAATGAATTAATCCAACCCTGCTCTCTGGTTTTTGTTTTTACTTTTTTCTCCTCCATTGCTAACTTCCTGGTGAGCATGTACAGCATATGCTAAAAATAAACACTTACCTTACAGGTCAAGTTCAATCTCAATTAGTCTTGTCATCTCCTGATGCATGTCCTCGTTCACAGCGGCAGTGCAACATCAGATCAACACACTAGACTAAAACAACAACAAAAAAAAACAAAAACAAAGTAAAGGTCTTATTGAAGTTGACAAGGTTTCAGACTAAAACCTACAAGCTGTATCTTACTCTAGTGGTTTAGCAGCGCACTCCTTCAACAGTAGCACAATCACAATAGATTAAAGTATCAGAAGATCACAGGCATAGTTCCAGTTTTAGACAAGCAGACTGAGTTTCACGTCAGGTGACAGACTGGTGAGACTACTCTATTAAAAGTAAAAGTGTATTGAAAATGTTAAATAGAAATACACCATCCAGCCATAACATTATGACTAGAGTGATTTTGACTAAGGGTCAAACTGATGGCTGTCGACTGAATTGGAGCATCTCCCACGCTGCAGGTGTTGTGTGTTCCTGAGCTGCAGTGGTTAGTACCTACCAACAGTGTCTAAGGAAGGACAGACAGTGAAGCAGAGATAGGGTCATGGACACCCAAGGCTCCCTGATGATGAGGCTGACCTACTGGAGATTCAACTTTTAAATGTCATTCATCCTTTTGCCAGATTCAATTTTGCTTGAATCGTTGTTAAAAATGGTCAAACATGAGAAAAACAGTACCTACCAACAGTGTAAGAGAAACATTCAGCAGCTATAGTGGTGATATTACATCTAAAGTGGGGAGGCTTTTGAATTTGTCTAACAAAATTAACTAACTCGTCCTCACGACCACAGTTTTCACTCCTTTTACATAAGACTTTTACTGAATGTCGACATCTGTGCTCTTCCTGGCAGACGGATGCACAGGAAACGGCAGAGAGACAGGCGGCAACCACCTGCCGCATTGGCTCCTGTGTACACAGTGTTAGGCAGGTGGCTTTCATTGTGGCTGATCAGTGCAGGGGGTTCATGTAATTCTTAGGCTTTGTGAACATTCTGTGTAACAAAATAATCAAAAATGAAAGATCAAGATCCACCTACTTGTTTTTATTTTGGTGTTTAGAATCTCTCATTCTTCTTATTTTGAAGGCATCTCCCCACTTGTCTCTGGCACAAAATGGATCCTGGATCATCAGTCTCAGTATGTATGCCTAGAAAAAGCTGGGACAAAGTTATTTGTTGATGGATAATACAAACGATAAAGAGACTAGATTTCTCACCTAAAACATACTCCAGGTTTAATAACCATGAGTTTAATAACATGGTTGAAAACCAGCTTTGTAGCAGAAGAAAAAGATGCTGTTAACTTGCAGCTGAACTTTCGCAACATGTTGAAATCTCGAGTTTTTGATGGAGATCTGATGTTCTGTCTTTAATAAGTGAACCAAAAGGCATATGACAAACAGATGTAAAGATTTTAATTTAAGCAACCATTCATTTCAGCAAAGTGCATGGTTCAGATTCTCTCTGCATGAGAGCAGTCAGCTTTAAATGGCTGTGAATAGTTGTCAGTAAAATAGAAAATTACAGAAACTACACAGAATGATTAAAGGTCAAATGTAAACTGGATATCAAAGACAGCAGAGGAGGATGGCATGAAAAAAAAAACAGCTGTATTAATTATTTGGAATGACAACCTATAGCTTATCTCTTACATTTTTAAAAATCATTTTATATTTTACATAAAAGTGAGAAAAGTGACAATAGCAGCAGCAACACTTGATCACAGCTGTAGGTCTGCCGTCAATTAAGATGGATACAGGAACCATAATTAAAAGGATCAAGATGAACAAACACTGTTGATAAAGTGTGTCTGTGTTACTGAAACCCTGCAAACCCCCAAGTGGAGGGAGGTTCTGGTTTCCACTCTTGTTGGTCACTGATTTGACCAACATGAAATGGAAACCATTATCCCCCAAACCAGCATCTCTCTGTGTTACTGTAGAGATATTTTAAATGAAACCCAGCACAGACCACAGCGCTGGGAACTCAGCGTGTGATCTGTGCCAAGTCATTGAATTATTATCTGAGCTCTAAGCTGTAAATAACAGCAGCCTGAAAAGATCTGGCAGATTCATTAGGCCTTTAATGAGATCGTTGCTGTAGGAAACCAAATGCATGCAAAGGGGAAATAAGCAGACACTGCTGTAGGAAACCAAATGCATGCAAAGTGAGGGGAAATAAGCAGATAACCATGGCAATAAATGTCTTTTGGGCACAATATGTTGCAGATATACAGTTACAAAATGAAAAAATAATGTAACTGTTGCCGTCTTAAACATTATGTTATCAAGAACAATTAAAGAATACAGCACCTACGGTATACTTCAATAATGAGGCTGTAAAACTTAAAATAGAATTAGTGTTGAGATGTTCTTGTTCAGGTTCATAGCACCATGAAGGAGAATTTCACAATGGTGAAGATAGGATATACTGCTACATCTGCAGTGAGTGAGGTTTTGAATGAGTTGAAAATTATTGCATTCCGCTTTTATTTAGTTTTTGCATCCCAACTTTGTCAGAAATGGGATTGTAGTCCTGGCAAAACTGTACCCAAATTGAGAATCATTCAACTATATCATTTTGTGTGTACAGTGTGAATGTATGCCACAAAGCAAGGGCTTTCAGCCAAATAGGACCCAGGGACCACCGCTCTGAGAAGTAACCTGAAGACCACTGCTGTGGTGTGGACAGACCGGAGGGATACTATTTTAATCCTGCAAGTCACCTAGGAGTTTCTAATTTAATTTGATATACTTGCATGAATTTGATTCACAAAGAACATGTAATATATGGAAGTGTTTAAAATAGTGCTGTCAATCGATTAAAATATCCAGTCGCGATTAATCATGATTGTCCATAGTTAATGCACAATTAATCTCTTTTTAAAAATCTGTTCTAAACAGTACATTTATTCAAATACTACACTTAAGTACAATTTTGAGGTATCTGTACTTGAGTATTTTCATTTTCTGTTACTTCATACTTTGACTTTACTATTTTTGAGGGGAAAAATGGTACATTTTACTCCACTACATTTGATAACTTTAGTTACTTATGAGAACCAGATTAATACAGTATAATCTATAAGACCTCACTGATCGAAGGTGGATCATTCAAAATCTACCCAGCACCAATTCAAATTAAATGCATACAAGATAAAACTAGTCCCCCTTTACCAACAATAAGTGTGGCATACATAATAATACAATAACCTGATCTACAAGAATGTGAAATGTGCCATTCTGCATAATGACTACTTTTACTATTAGTACTTTGTTTCGATGCGAATACTTTTGTGCTTTTACCCAAATAACATTTTGAAAGCAGGACTTGTAACGATATTTTTACACAGTTGTATTGGTACTATTAAGTAAAGGATCTAAGTACTTCTTCCATCACTGGTTCTAAATGCACCTTAAAAGGGACCCGAGGTAACTGATTACTGGGAATAGTCCATTAGACTCCAGTGAGTGCAACCACGTTTGTCTGTTCCAACGCCTCCTTCACTTTGGCTTCCACATCTTCATACAAGTTGTGCATCTTGGTTACAGCGGTGGCTCTCGAAGGCAATTCTATGGATGTGATGCCAATTATTTCAAGCAGACCCTCGTCCTCCACAATGTTAGTTGGCCTGCGAGCTGTAGCCATTCATTTAGCTATTGCTGTTGAAAGTGTGCTGTTTCTAGAGCTGTCCAGGCATCTCTGGTGCAAACTATCCAGCATGGTTTGCCTTTGGCGAGGGTCTGGAGGGCTCTCTGCATTGGCAGTGTGCTTTGCCAGCAAGTGGTATTTGAGACTATGTACTCCAATGGTAATTCAATTCACAGACAGTAAATGCAAATAACTTTTGTTTTGTCAAGGAAACCATTTGGCAGGGCTTTGAAACTGAACTTGCAGTCCAAAAGATCCTTTTGTTTATCCATTACTGCTGCCCCCTCAAAGAATGTGCGTGATAATCACGTGCAGAAAAAAAATTATGCAGGGTTAATGAGAATTTGCATGATCTCATTATTATCGCGTCAAGTTTGACAGTCCTAGTTGGAGAAAAACAAAAACAAAATTCCTACAGTGAAAGTAAAGGGACCCACCTGCAATGCCTTCACAGACCACCTGTGGGCCATGGACCACTGGTTGAAAATCCATACCACAAAGCAATAAAATTCAGTTATAAACATTGGAAAACACATCTTACCAAAAAATAAGACACAAACTCGATGAAATTTAGGTATTCTTTGTAATTTTAATTCCCATAATTTAGTTTAAATGCAGACATTTTTTCACTAAAATCTTAAAACATTACAGTACGATAGATGCAAATCAGAAGAGCTTTAAGGTTTCATAAAAGCAGGCTACAGTTTCTTATGAATTTTTCTTTTTTTTTAAAAATGATTTACGTGGGGTTTTTCCCCACTTGTGAGGGACTGGACAGTTAAATAGCAATAAACAGTAAAAAGACAACACAGAGCTGTAAAAGCCTGCAGGCCGGCCAAGGAGCACATTATAAAACAGACCAGAAAACTAGAGACAGCAAGCCACATCCAGATGGAGGTCTGAACTAATGCCCCTCCACCTCTGTGAGGTGGTGCTAGTTCCACACAAACAGGAGAGGGCGCTATTACACCAGGGCAGGTAGAGCTACACAACCACGGAGTGACAGCAACGTAGTAGCACCCTCACAAGGAACAGCTTGTAGTGCACATTCAGGGAGAAATGGTACGTTCTGTTTTCTCCAGTCTCTTCAAACATACAACACAGTTAAAATGCAGTAGAAGCAAAGTAACTCCCTCAATGGCAATTACACCACTCCACAGTGATCAACTGCAGTCGCTCTCTAGGGGGAGGGAAGTGTCAGACTACGCCATCTAGTGGCTGTGTTCATACCCAACTTTTTTTTTTATTATTACTGGCTGTTGGGATACAATATGAAGAAAGAGCGTATCCAGAAATGTTTTGCTTTGGTTCAGTGAAGTCTAATTGATATGATAATTAACCCGGGTCAGGTCTGGCTCAAAGACCCCGAAAACGCATTTTCTCAATTAGCTTTTTATTATGAGAAACTGTGTCCTCCATGAGCACAACTTTCTGCCCACACCAGACATTCCTGTATTTGTGTTTCAGTCTGTGATTTACAGGTTTGAAGCTGGCGTGACTAAGCTGGAAAAAGGAAATGTGTCATTTCAGTCACCAATGAGGATGTGCCTTGTCAATTTAGCAACATTTGAATCAGAGTTGATGACAGCTGTACGATTCTTTGCTGAAGCAGTTTTTGTAAGTGTTAAACTTCGTTTTCGTTTTTTCCCATTAATTGTTGTGAGTAATTTCATGGTAGCCCTGCGATGGATTCCCACAGTCCAAAGACATGCAGCTTAGGTTGATTGGTGTCTCTAAATTGCCCATAGGAGTGCATGTGCGTGGGTGTGGTTGTTCGTCTATGTGTTAGCCCTGCGATGGACTGGCGACCTGCCCAGGGTGTACCCCGCCTTCGCCTGATTGCTGGCCGGGATTGGCTCTGGCCCCCCCCCCGTGACCCCGCTCAGGGAACAAACGGTAGAACATGAATAATTTCATGGTCTTTTAATGTTAGAGAAATTCAGTTAAATTTGAAATTACGTTTTCGGGGCTTTAACTTCTAAAAAGCATTGCTGCCTCGATATTTCCTGTGTTTTTCTTAATTAAAATTTGAGCCAAAGATTAAGCTTCATTTCAGACGCTGCCCCCAGCGTGGTGATTTTCACTTTCCCTCCCCATCTTGAGCAGTGCATCCCTTTTGGCCGTTCAGGACTGAGAATGCATAGAAAAATAAATGTGTGAGTTACAAAGGGGGCTGCAGAGCACGTTGTTGACACAGATATCTAAAGCCTGCATGCCGACCTCTGACCATTTACAAATAAACCTCATAATTCAACATGGGCAAAGTGGCTTCAGTCATATGATGAAAGCTTATCAGTCTTCTAAAAATGCTGGAACATAGTTACTGGGATTTTGTTCATATTCTTGTTAAAAGAGGTGCTACTATGGTAACAAGTGAACACCTCATTATTTTAACCAGGCATGAAATAAAAGATTATTTTGCTGGTCAACAGCAGCAGCTACTGTGAGGTTAGAATTGTGCTCTTAAGACTCAGTGGAGCCATAGTTATTGAATGCTAACAAAAACCAGATGTTTAATCAGGGTTAAAATGTCATAAGATGGACCTAAAGCAGTAGGCCACCTGCCTATCTTAATACAGCGCATCAGCTTTTTATGGCTTTCCTGAAGATAAAAGCATAAAACTGAATTCATAAGCAAGAGAACTCTGTGTAGCTGACATTACTATGTGATTCTTCTCCTCCTGTGCTTCTGTTACAATATTCTTTGAGTAAATATACCATTATCTCACAGCTGTCACTTGTGGCTACAGTATGAGAATTGGCCGTTACATAGTTGCTTTAACAACAACGGGGAAAAATCTGGTTTCCTACAAGCTGAAGATCTCTGATGTTCTAGGAAACGAGGCCAAACATCTTGTGCATCATGAGATTAGCACTGCTCCTGTACAGAGACTGTGCAGCCCCCTGTGCAACACAACATTTGGCAGAATAAAAGAATTGATGAGCTATAAGAGTGGTCACCTGGCAAAACAATGATACAAATGTCCATACAGTCCAGTTTTCTGTTACCAAAATTAAACTTTCTCTACTACTCAGATTTTGCCTTCAGTCAGTACTCATCCTGGTTTTAACAAGATGCCGTCCTGCTCCCACAGCTCATGATCAAAGCAGTAGGGAAACAAAATTACAAAGTGTTTTCATCTACAATTCAAAAATAAAAATGGTAATTTAAAAATCTGATCTACTGGCAACTGACACGTTAGTATACATGTTAGAAGGACACAGGCTCTGAGGAAGTGTAGCACATGGCATTGGCACAGTGAGACGCCCTGTAACAAGACCATCTCAGTGTCACTGTGATCTTAGAACAACTAGTCCCCGTTTACCAACTTCCCCATCAAACCCGAGATGAATCTCCCAAAGGGTCTGGAAGCTCACCCAGGTTAAAACTCAGATATGGTAGAAAAATATATAGTCAATGAAATTTCTCTAGTTCTCATCTTCATTACTGAACTGCACCCATACATGTAGTGTTAATGCATCGTAGTAGCAGTGTAAAGTGACAGGGCTGATGAGTAGAACTACTACTAATACTACAAATAAAACGAAAATCAAGTCATCGCACATACACTTGCTCTCACTCGTGCCCTCTCGCTCTCTACTTTGTTTTTGTACTTGCACTTAAAAATTTATGGTTAACAGTTTCTTTCATTGGCATCATTAGGCAACTGTTTTTTTCCAGGTATTCTACAATATAGTTCAATGTAAACACCACAGTACTTAATTATTTTACTGTATCTGCACAAAGTAAAAATATTACAAGGCAACTGACTACTTAAGCATAGATTTGTTTGAGAAAAAATTTGAAAAACACACCACAATAACAAGAAAAAAAAAAGAAAAAAGAATCCTAACTCCTGGCATTGAATTTGTTCTAATAAAAAAGCTTTAGTTTGTTCATCTACAGGTCAGGTGATCCTGTTAAAAAGCTGGTGATCATCAGTACAAGCCTCCACAGATGCCGTCCTAGTCAAACAAAATGATCCTAGGACCAAAGTCGTGATATTTTTGTGACATGAGCAGCCTCCAACACTAGACTTTGATTTAGCCCTCAACTTGACCTTGTGATATCAGGCTAACCTTTAGTGTTTCAATTGAAACACGGGATAGATGATGTTTCTACACTTCAAACGACATGAGGCCACTGTGAGGAGCTACACGTGCGGCCGTCCCCCACCTCTGCATAACGGGCTCAGTTATAATACGACACTTTGACGCGTTAGTGTTTGATATGACACATAATATGACATGACAAGGCCTTAACTTTTGGAGGCATCTTGAGAGAGATACCACAGATTTGTGTGAGGAGAATGAGGTTCAGGGTTACTGAAATGATAAGAACAGGGCGGGAGCTCTGCAATGACCTGAACACGGAGAGTGTACAAGTCCATCATTGGTAGGGAGCATTGAAATGAGGAAATGACTCCAGTAACTAAGTTCAAAGTATGAGAACAAGGGAATACAGGATGAAAATATGTGAACATGTTAAGATCTTATGATTCTTTTGTGTTTAGTGTTTTAGCTTCTGCTGCACCTGAACCTCATCATTTCATGTTGAAATGGTGATGACATTACTTTGGCATGGGGCTCAACACCCTCAACTAAATAATTTACTGTTAATACTGCGGCAATTACTGATGCAATAAAAATCTAAAGGAATGAAGTATTTCCAGTTTCCCTATTGTGAACAGGTTTGATTCAACACTATAAATACTGTTTTCTCATCAATATACTTCTGCCAAAACCGAAACTTCCCAAGTGTGTGTCGATAATGTGAGCCTCTGGGATGAAACATACTGCATGAGTTGACAACATTAAAATCACATTATAAACAATGACCCATAACCCGCCCCCAAACTCTTTAAGGACAGTATTTACACTACAAATTACAGTACAATACATCAAAAATATGAGATCAATCTCTAAAAATGTACAGGAGCTTTTGAGAAAAATCATCTCTTTTGCTAATCAGGTTTCTATGGTATGATGTAGAAAATAAAAGAGCAGAGTGACAATCCTACCGGCCCTCGTTGAGGTGTCCTTTCTGTCTGGCCCAAGTTGTACCTGGCTAGTTAAAAGTGAGATGAATGGGTTGGTTGACCACACGCACATCTTTTCTGCTATTTTTTTTTCTTTTGCTTTAACGCAAGCTGCAATAAAACAAATCACACTCAATCTGATATATCGATATGTACAGTTTTTTTTTCCAGGCATATTGGAAAAATAATAATAAGCACTTAATCGACCATACTACCTGGGATTCCAGGCAGAAGGATATTGTTTTACTGCAGGCAGGTTTGTCAGTTTAGGAGCGCAGAATTAACGCGCAGATTGTTTTTAGTCATATGCTTTCTATATTTTCAAAAAATAAAATTCAATGAAGAGACAAAATAACAGCCACTGGTTTTAAATAAGCACAAGTCTTGTTAAAAGTTACTGGAAATCTCCCTACTATTAGCTTAGGTACAGACTGAACGATATAGTGAAGTCATCAGTTGTACCCACTTTCTTATGCAACCAAAAAGAGAATGAATAAAAACTGATCAGAAACTCAGAAGAGTCAAAAAAGATTTCTGGACTACGGAGCCAAGCAGCATGTGAACCAACCCTCCTCACATCAACAGGGCACCCACATCCATCTGTAAACCTCTGCACCTCCCTCCCACCTGTTTCTTCCCTATCACCTTTGCCTTTTTTCCTCTGTTCATTTAACACTTGAGTTATGATTTTTACCCCCGTTTTCCCCACTCTCCTTTCTCCTCAGTTCTCCCTCCCAGCCGTTCTCGCTCAGACGAAGGGCAGGATGCCGTAGACGAACAGGGCCATGACGGCGGCGCTGAACAGGCCGGCCACGGGCACAGTGACGAACCACGCCAGGAAGATGTTCCTGAAGAGGTGCCAGTCCACCGCTTTCTGGGAGCGGATCCATCCCACAGCCACGACTGAGCCCACCTGAAGGCCACGGCCAGGAGGGAAGACAGAACTACAATCAGCAGCAGCATGGAACGAAATGGTTCAAGTGGCAAAGTCAAAGACACAGTGAGGAGCTGCAGACTGTCCAGGCTTCCCTTATGACAGAGGGCTTTCATTTTCTTTTCGGACAATGTTGGCCTGTTTTATTCAGGCATCTGTAGCCATTCTTTTCCCATCTAACTCTAATGGACTTGACAGCACCAGCTGATCAATTAACCCACCAAAGATGACTGGTGGAAATGATTTAATGTGGTATTTAACAGAATAATAGTCAGAGGTAAGCAAGAGTAACACATTATAATAAAACTATTTCAGAAGTTTAATGGTCATAGTACTTTTTCAGTGTTATAAAAATGATGCAATAACTGCTACAGAAGCAGCATGGTTGATATGAAGCTATTAACTTCTATATAGAACAACCTCAAAGTTGTATGTAAGTACTCGATTAAAAGTTACATTCCAGCACTGATAATAGCTGAGCTGACCAAAAAACAAGTAAACAAAAGGTGATAAGACGCCATATTAAAAGTGAACAGAAAAGCCTGTACACAGCCTTCAGCTCCTCAGGACCAGCTTGGCCCGTACGGTCTGTGTTAGTTAGAGCAAGCCAATTATAGGCACTGTTACCATCTAAATTGTATTTGTGCTCGTGGAAGTCTGAAACCAGCAGCTACTGTGCATCAAAATGAACATTTTCCACTCTGTAACAGGCTGTAAATCGAAAAATGATGATCTGACCACATCTGCAGATGTCAGACTTCCACTAATGCATTCTTTACTCACCTGTATGAAAGAAAAAACAGTGAATGAAAGCTCATTTTGGAGAAGACAAACAGTTCAGACACCCGAGTGTGTTGGAGCGGAACGTGCAGTGACTGGTTTTAGCTCCCCGTGCGAGGCTGTGGGCAGGCGGGAGTTAAACTGGGTCTGCCTGCTCTTATACAGGCAGGGAAACATGAGAGACCTTCTGTCAAACTCACAACTAAATGTGGAAGTTACACCAGTGCTAGACTACACAAAAATATCTTGAGGTGAGATTTTAGTCAAACAGTAACTTGTAGTCTAAAATTTCTCAGATTCTCCCTCATTTGGATAACCAGCATTATTCTAAAAGCAGAGCAACAACTAAACATTGGGGTCATGATGTTTGTTTATAGCCATCTGTAATATTTCAGGCATGTGGCAACAAAGCCTGAACTCAGTGTGACCTCAGTGTCGGTGCTGCTCACTGCCTGTAGAACACACCCCACACACCGGGTCTGGGCATTGAGTCAGCGTAGCCTCCACAGAAGTGGACAGATGCCCGTTGTTGCTCATTCATGCGCACATTCACACTCACTCTCAGCCATTTGGGAGACAGTGACAGATATTGTTGTCTACTTTCTGAAATATGTAGTGTTTCTTCTAATAATCCTTAAAATTCAAGAAAAAAACTTCTTAAAATGTGATGTATAAATTATATTACAAGTTTAACATCTAACGATTTCTTCCAACAATGTCTGTGGATCCCCAGGACGCATTCACTAAATCACTCAAATCACCACCACCGTTGTGTACCTCTAACCATCAGTACATTTACAGTAGCATTTTGGCATTGCAGCTGATTAACTGAGGTTTTAGGGAAGTGATAGGAATGTCTGGAGGTGAGGGATAAAATAAAGTATGGATGGCGATGTTGATGTTTAGACAAACTGATCATGAGTGATATAATGCCAGTTTTGAGTCTTGTGCAGTTTCCTTTTAGCCAATTGTTTATGTATTTATCTAATTTAAAAACAGAGCTGTTTGCGCTAATGCAGCTAAATGAAAATCTCATTCCTTCTTTAGACATTTCCCCCCCAAAAAAGCATATGTTACACTTATTCTCCCCTAATACAAGCTAAACATTTAAAGTAAGAGTGGAGGCTGCACAATTAAAGTAAAAGTTTTTGGAAATGTGCTCATTTCTCATACAGTTAGATGAGAAAATGGAAGCCTCGCTCATATCCATCTGTTCTAGCATAAAGACTGAACACTAAACTGTACTTTTACTAATTCAAGTAATGACAAAATCCAAAAATACCTTACTACATTCTCATGAGTCTCTGTATTCAAAAAGCATAGCTCATCTCTTTATACACTACTGTTCTTTTTATCTTATAAGCTTCCACTGATTTTCCTAATGTCTCTTTACTACTACAGAGCTGCCTTTAAGGGCCAACTTGTCGTATTGCTGCTGGAGGAAACTGCATGAGAGATCAAAACTTCAACTGCGAGAGTTGTGCTTGGCTCTGATGATTGACAGCTACAGGTGAAGCCATGTGGAGCTCTTGGGGGGGGTGGTTTGGTTCTCTAAACAGCTTCACTACTATGACCCCAATACCTTGCAGTGGGTGGAGCTTACTGGGATGCCCACATTTGATGCAACAAGCACTGTTAGCGCACTCATTACTTCAATGCAAAATCCGCTGTGAAGACAGATGAGTGGAGAGAGAGAGAGAGAGACAGAAGATGGATAGGTAAACAAAGTGAACACAAGTGTGAAAGGTGGAGACCGAGAGCAGGGGCAGGGGAGGGGGTGTCTGCTTGCAGCCAAGCAAAGTAGGGTGGAGGACCCACACACCAAACTGGGCCAGTGCTGAGAGGGCAAAATGAAAGACAGTTGGTGGAAATGAAACAGAGGATGAGACACCACGTTGACAGAAAAGGGGCAGGGGAGAGTTGGAGCTGGAGGGGCCTGCTACATCCTCCAGCCTGGATCCAACGTTCCTGAAAAGACCAGGGGAAAGAGGCTGCACACTGCTGCCTGGGGCCATGTGCAGCAGGCAGGGCATGACCACAAAAGTCTGATTGTCTAGCAGAAGATTAGCAGGGGGTTGTCAGCTGCAGGGAGTTAAAGGATAATTGTGGTATATAACAATCTGGGTGTTATTAATAGTTTTGGCAATAGTTTTCTAATAATCCTATTGTGCTCACAAAGTTAATCCCAAAAATTTGGAAAAGAATATTAACACTGCACAGTGAAGTCAGAGGATCATCAATCAAACAAATGTCTCTATCATCCTTAGTTTTCTTTCCTGACAAAGACCTACTTAATGATGGTCACTGCTAGATACATAATGGTACATTATGATAAATAACAGTCCATCTGAACTGTAAAGGGCACTGTCCCTTACTGCCTTATCTTTGACTGATATTCAGTTATATCAGGTTTTTACAAGAATACCAACTATAAAACTATAAAAGCACATAGATGAAATGTTTTTTTTTAATGACAAAAGTGTTATTTTTCAACCCTTCGCGGTGGCAGAAGACCGTCCTGTCAGGCTGTGGTTAGGCTTGCTGCTATGAGCGCACTACAAAAAATAAAGCCAATTCAGATTAGGGCATCAACATTTTAACCAGCACCTTTGGAGTTTGGCAGCTGAACTGTCAGAGGACACTGTTTAGAGATGAAATCAATCTGTAACTGTTATTACGACTGATAGAAATGATGGCCAAAACGTATAAGAACCAAGTTGTAATATAGTGGAATTATCCTTTGCTGACACAAGAATGTGATCTTGGCTGTATTGCCGTAAGAGCATTCTTGCAAACACAGCTGGGAAAAAGAGACAGACACAGACTGTCTAATGGAAATATGGTCATATTAATGTAAATAGAAAAAAAAGAAAATCTGTAGAAATTAAATTATTGCATTGGACTTAAGCAGTGTGTGTGTGATTCCAGCCTGGTGCCCTGGGAGGCAGTGTGAGCTCCCTGTCCCCCAGAGATGCCTGGAGGGGAGGCGAGGTGGTTAGCTGGAGGTCCACTCAGTCATACCTTGCAGTGTGTGGTACTGACAGGGATTCCGATATTGGAAGCCAACACGACTGTGAGTGCGGAAGCCAGTTCAATAGTGAATCCACTGTGGAGGAGGAAGGAGGGGGAGGGAGGGGAAGGGCAAAGAGATATTGTTCAGTGTAATGTCTGGGATGTACAGTGCTGCTCATGGCATCCACATCAACCACAGAACATTCAGGTACTGTCATCACACACTGTCTCAAATGAACACACATACACAGCATTTCTAGCCGATCTTACGTGTTAGTAGGTAACTGTTAAGAGTTGTGTGATGGTCTATGTACTGCCTTGTGCTGACTAGCAGGGATACTTTGTCTGAAGTCATGTCCCATTTCCAGAACATTATTCACACTGGGACACCAGGCCAGTAGGTGCACTGGAAGAGAAAATCATTAAAGACCCCACCCCCTGGTTGCCTGAAGACCAAACTAGCTGGAAACAAAAAAACTGATTGGGATGGGATTGGCATGATAAAGAGACAGAAAACAATGAAGAGAAACTGAATAAATGTCAAAGTAACATCAAACTGAACTGTTAATTCTTTCACTAGGGGATAGATGTTGAAACTTAACTGGGAAAAAAATGACAACTGGCAACATCCCACTCTAGTCACCATTGTGGTTCTCACAAACAGTGAGCCAATCTGGAACAATGCAGAACCATTAATTGGCCCTCGCTTTAACTGTGTGCATATATTTAATATTTAAGACTGCACAGGGTGTGAGGTGTCCTGGTAGAGCTTTAAACAGGCTGGCTGTACGAGTGCAACTGGATCAAGCCTGGTCGCACAACACCATGACTCAGTAGAGCAGGCTATAGAGACACAACTGCACCTACACATAGACACTTCCTGTCTTTGCCCCAAACAACCTTCTTTGTCAGACTGATACATGGAAACAGACATTAGAGGGAAGCGAGCTTTGAGAAAAGTGAACCACAGCAAATTTGTCTTTGAGTCCCAACAAAAGACTAAGCTGGTGATAGAAAGAAGGAGATTAAAAAGAAAGAAGGCACAGAGGAAGAGAAGGGCCAAAAAAAGGGAGGAATTAAGAATGAAGGAAAAAGATGGAGTGAGCGTGAGAACGACTACAGGAAGTGAGGAAGACAAAAAGATGCAATGAAAATGGGGTTAGAAAGAAGTGGAGATTGAAGAGCATCATTCACAAAAAAGAGATTCATAGAAGAGTAGTAGGGAGTATGAAAAAAAAGAGGAGAACAGGACGGAAAAGAAAAGTGTGAGAGGAATCAGGCTGGCGTCCCTCCCTGTGATCGGAGGAGAGAAGCCAGGGTTCCCACTGTGGCTTTGCCCCTCCCTCCCTCCCTTTGCTCTACTTCTCTTCATCCAGAATGCCAAACAACTTTCTGTTGTTCCTGCCAGGCAACGACACACACACACACACACACACACAAAAAAACCTTGCTGGAACCTGAACATGCATGCTCAGACATGTACAGTACACATTCAGCACACAGCAAGATTAACCCGACATGATACACAAATGCACCTGGGGTATGCACACGTGCACACACACACACATGCACGCACACACACACTCTCTCTGTCTCTCTCTCTCTCTGCAGCTACTGAGCAGCCAAACAAGAAGACAAAAATTAAGAAAGATCAAACTGAAGGACAGAAGAGCAGCAGTCAGTGGTTAAGGACGTGTGTCTGCTGCTTAGGTAGTGGGACGATGTGAGCCCAAGGGCTTTACGTGTTGTGGTCCATTTTATTCATAAGTGTTAAGTAATAAGTCAAAGGGCACAGTGAAAACGGAGCGTGTACATTCCCATTTCACTGCCTATTCAAAATGACAGTACAGAGACAATTACAGTAGATTCCTGAACATGTTCCAAAGCAGTAAAGATATTTCTAGCTAATTTAAAGTTCCTGAAGAATGACTAACTTATAATTTATCAAACTGTGCATCTCACTTGCTTGATTTAAAAACAACAGAATGGTACTTAACACTAACGTAATGAAATCGCATTAATTCAGTCTGCCTTCTTGAGGAGATGATACTAATATACAGTTGCAAGAAAAAAGCAGTGGCACTGTTTGCAATTCCCTGGCTTTCTGCATAAATTGGTCATGAAATGTGACCTGATCTTTACCAAGTAAAAAATATCAACAAACTTTGATGTTTAATGGGTGTGTTCAATAAAATGAAAGATCATTTTGTGTTCTATCAGCTTAGAAACATTGTGTTTGTTAATATTTGTGACTGATGAAGACCAGATCACATTTCATGAGCAATTTATGCAGAAAACCAGGAAACTGCAGCGGCTCTGTTTGGGAAGCAGGGAGCGATTAATCAAAGCATGTTTGAGAAAAGTGTCCTCGGTTGGTCAGACAACCTGTAAATAAGAAGCACTTAAAGTAACAAAGCAGATGCTCTTAATATGATTATGTTGCCTTAGGTTTATGCATTTTACTGTCAGCATAGTGAATATTTCTGAATCCAAGTTCAGTGGCTAGTACTCGCTCAATAACATTTAACAGCCTTATTAAATACACAGTGTGTGCATTATTAATATGGCTGTGTGCACATCAAGTACTTACCAAGGAAGCTGCAGCACTAGAAGGGCCCGTTTGTCAGCATGCCAAGGCATTTTGGCCCAAGTGAAAGCAAACATGTTGGAAAGTTCACTTCTTCTCTTTCAAATGCACCCACCCACTTTCTCACACACATCCTTCCACTCAGTCTCCCACATGGTGCCCGTCTCACCTCGAGGGCGTGATAGGAGTCAGGTCCTTGCCCATGGTCTGGATGACACGACGGCCCCACACCCACAGGCCAGCACAGATGCCTACACCTCCGTATAACAGCAGCCAGATGGGAGTGGTGGCATCTTGCATCACACCGCCCTGCTCATAGATCATCCACAGCGCCACTAGGGGCCCGATGGCATTGCTGCAAAGACAGAAAACATGAGCATCTATGCTAGACTGAGACTAAATGATGTCAGACAAGCAGATGAAAAGATGATTGCTGTTGGAGAAAAACAACTTGCATGTTAATTTAATAGGGAACAAAACCCTCAGGAATAAAAGTATTTTATCAGGTATTGTATTATGGAAGTATATTTTGGCCAGTGCACTGGTGTACGCAGCAGGAGGAAGCACCTGACATCGTTGCCTCCATGGGCGAAGGAGCCGAAACAGGCGGTGAGGATCTGCAGGAAGTGGAAAAGCAGGAATACCTCAGGCTTATCCTTGTCCTCGCGATCCTCCTCGACCAAATCATCCAGAGGCACTGGAGCTGGAGCGCCTTCTCCTTCCCCCTCCAACTCTGTGGCCAGCTTCATCTCTACTCCATCCTCCTCTGCCTCAATCTCGGCCTCGGCCACAGCGTTACAGTATGAAGAGTAGCTATCATAGCGTATCCTCTTCTTGGAGAAGGAGACGCTGTTGCTCCTGCCGCCTCCTTCACCTACCAGCTTTTCATTGTCATCACGAGACTCAGTGCGTATGAGTGGCTGGACGGGCATGCCACATATCGCCGCTGTGTAGCAGGTGTAGCTGTTGTTGCGACGCAGCAGGCGATAATTGTTGTCAGGGGGGCCAGCATGGGAGCCTGTGCGCTCGCCATCATCTACACGGCCTACGTGGATTTTGTGAAGCAGGTCTTTATACAGACCTGAGTCTTTGTGTACTGTGTGATACACCTGGCCATCACTGCGCATGTGGCCATCAAAGCTGAAGCTGCCATTTATGATGGGTGACTTGAGGCAGCCGTTGGTCATCGAGTGGGTGCGACCTTGAAGAGAAAAGATGGAAAACAAAGTTTGTGGCAACTGAAATCAGAGTTCAGTCCATTATATTTCTTTTTCTAAAAAATTAGGTTTTTTAATAACATGAACTTCATCTAGGTAAATCTAGGTACTGTAGAAGTAGATATGTGATGGAGGAGAAAGAGGCTATGTATGAAAATTATACTTTGTTTAATTTTGCCCTGCTTTATATTCAGTGTAACTTACATTCTTGCCAAGTTATAATACTTGTGGTTAATTGTATAAAGAAACCAGCTTAACATAAATAAAAAGCTTGACTTGACTAACATACCACCCTGCTGAAGGTGGCTACAATCAAAAGGGTCACATCACATCATTTTTTTTTTTTTTTTTTTAGTTTCAACAAGCCATTTCAAAACC